ATCCAGAAGTGTTCTCTTTTTGACAGGAGCATTTCTGGATTCTCACCTCTAGGGGCAGTTCCACATGCCGATATAGCTTAAAGAAGAGATAGAACGGTTGAAATGAGCCCACAAAATGAGCCGCCACAGGATAGTTCATGTTTTTGCATCTGACTGTACTCCTATGTTCTGCAATATTGAATACAAATATGAGAAGACAACATTATAAATCAGAAAACAGCATAATATAGGCTCTGATGTGTAAGTTATTGGATACAGGAGCGACCCTGGTGTCAAACCTCGCACCACCTTTGAAACATCACTAATGACGACATCACAGAACTGACTATAGACTGTAGAACACATGTTTTACAGTGCAGGGCAATGAGCAGGGTTAATATAGCTACTTTGTGAGGCTGTAAACATGTTGACATGCTGACCCCATCTGTCCATAAAATGAATCTTTCTCCTTCTCATTAATATTTGAGTGTTAATATAATCAAATCAAGCAGAAATATACAAACAATTTACACTTTTTTCATCAGTCAGAATGTTTATAAATGATGGCATCTGGCTTCTAATAAATCCATTGTGTCGGTTCACGGATAGGGTTGCGCCGATATCGGCGCCGATACTGAAGAATTTGCTTGATCGGTTCCATGATATCAAGTCATCTGGTTTATTTATTTATTTTATTTTTATTTTATTTATTTATTTATTGGATCCCCATTAATCTTTCTTGGGGTAAAGATTATTCTTCCTGGGGTCCAAGTTGACATAATTTACAATAAAATGTTCCATTATAATAACAAAAAAAGTTCATACATAAGTTCATACAGTCCTGTTCCATAGTACACTACACTACACTACTACAACTATAATATATCCAATAAATTACAATGCATAACTAGTGGTATAATTAAGTACAATTTCCAATATATATCTTTAACATTTTCTTAAAACTTGGATATCCTGGTTGGGTTTTAATAAGTCTATGTACTAATTTTGGCCTCAGACATCTGGATTTATATTCATGCAAACAAGTTCAGTAGTTATTTGAAGGATAAATAAAAGTTACATAACATAACCGAATCTTTCTGTAATAAGTTAACCATTTTTCATCAGTACTCTGGTATTACTTAGTATCGGTTATCTGCAGATACTTAAATAGTATTTATCGGTACTGAAAAAGCTGGATCGGTCCATTTCTACTCACAGGCCACGTTTTAGGATATAATAGTTTTCTGAGTGCTTGTCAGATGAGCAGGTGAAATTTATACTCATCATTGAACAGTATTGCAGAACGGAAGAAAAATCATGTCCATTTTGCAGTCTGATTTTGACGATAATTACACCCCATCACACGAACCAGAGTGCTTTTTCACTGCAGTCTGAAACAAAACTCACTGGTCTGAAATGTTTTTGCACCTGCTGCTGCTGCTGAAAAAAGAAAAATCAATAAACGCCAGAACACTTGATGGGATTTCAACCTCTGCAAATTTGTAGAATGATAAATTGTTTCTGACTAATGGTGCGTTTTGTTTTTTTCACAGAATTCTAGACTGACAGGATTATGCATGCAGTTTTAGTTAAAAGAGACATTAGTTACACAGTGATACGTGCGCATGCCTCATGGGTCTGTTCTCATAACCTGATAGTGGTCTGACGCCCCCTCACTGATCACTGATCCAGCTTAGGGCAGTTACAGCTGATCTTTATGGTTTATGGATCAGTTTAACCAGAGCGCCTACAGTGTGCCCACATGGGACTTCCCACATGGCGATAGTCTGACCCCATGTGGACTGTGCCAGCATGGCAGCAAAGGTGGCATAAACTCACTGACCTTCCAGCTAATCATTCGCCCACACACTCATCAAACTAAACATTCACAAGGGTCACACCAGGTATAGGAATGTGGAACAAAACAGCCGCTCTCACAAAAATGAAAATACTGTTATAGTGGGTAACAAAATGAATCCCATTTCTAGTTATGGATCGCCTAAATATTTCAGTATAGACTAGAGGAATGTGGGTGGATGGACAATGCGGCTCCAAAGGTCAAAGGTAAGACTCCTGTGAATCTCCATTATAACCATATGTGGGTCTTCTGCAGGCGCGTACTCCGAGTGTGTAGCATGTTGGTGAATAAGTAACTACAGTACTACGTTTTAAGATTCCGAGTTTAAAAGCGCTTTGAGCCCTCCTCATTTCACAGCCAGACTTCAGACAGGTTTCTCATGCGCACGTCGTGTCCAGGGAGAGTCTGGGTCAGGGTCAGGAGCACATCACACTATAATGTCTATAATAAAGGCTCCACATTAGGGTGCACAGTAGCAGCACAACCTTCAAATGTGAGACAAACATAAGTGTGCTATCAGCTTTATCACAAATCATCAGTCATAAGTAATGGACTTCACCTGAAGTTTATGGTCTTTATCTGAAAATAAGTGCAGCTAATAAGAGATAATTAATATAGTATTACTGATACAAGAGACATACTAGTAAATAAATAAACTGAGCTCTGTAATAGTTAAGATAACAATGCGTGCACGTATGTAATGATTACAACATAATCCTTCTTTGTGATTTTCTTGTTATTTATGATTTGAAAACATTATAAATATGTCTTGGAGAAGGCGCTGCCAATTTACAAGTGATGTGAGACATTAGATAAAACTCATGCAAAAGTAGATTACATATGCATGTGAATCTATTGATAATCTAATGAAGAGATTTCACTGTGCCAAAATACAGAGCATAACCCCACAAGTGTTGAAAAATAATCAAAACAATGTCAGGTAATGTCACTGAAATAAATGAGATAGAAAACATATAAACAAAAATGGAGTGCCTAATGCAGAGAAGTGGTACACATCAAGTGGCACAATTAGCCCACAGGTCACATGGAGAATCATATGACAAATAAGTAACTACGCCCACACTGAATAATTATAGCCTCACAAGGACAAGTCATTGCGTAACATTCAAAATATGAAAACAAAAAGAAAGAAAACACTGTGTCCCTGCTGTGACTACAGAAATAATAAAACCATTTGTTTCTCTGTTTCTCTGTCTAAAACACATTCACTTCAAACAGAAGCTCTTTCATTTTTCTGTGACAGTGGCTGTTTTGCATGCTTTGTTTTGGTTGGTGAAATTAGTGTCATGAGTTGGACGATAGCTGGTTAGTCAGTTGTTTTCAAAAACCCACACACTGTATTCAATTATAGCAGAAGAACTCACATGTGCATATTTTTGTCATTGTTTATCACTGACTACTGGAACCTGCGCTAGTTTTAATACAAATGCAAATAAAAACCAAAAGAGACCAAATAAACTTAATGTGTTTAACACAACAAAACAAACTGCCTGAATAGAAACAAGCCAGTTCAACCTATCTCCTGACCACGTGCTGCTGGTACTTTATGTCTAAATGTGCTATTAAGTGCAATCAGAAATAATAACATTACATAATAATCAAACCATCCACGATCAGATCACGAAAACCATCAAACTGTAATAAGTTTTATGATGAAGTTAAGTAACAGCCTGTATAATCACTCCCCTTTCAACTTGCTCAACCTTTTATATCCAAGTCTTTAAATCTTATGAGATGAATTTATGGGACTCTAGGAGTAAGTGAGTACAATTACAGTTTAATCATTTACACACTTTTGCACAGTTTACCTTAGATGTAATTATACTCCTATCTACAGCAATAAATTTAATAGGCAACGTATGCCTAGTCTTAGCTATAAGTGTGTGCTATACCACCTTATCACCTACAAACAAGAGGATAGCTGTATCAAACTACCTAAAGATGCAGTAACTTTTCTGGCTAATAGTCTACCACCTGGTTGAATCCATGTAAATGTGGTGCTTCATGATAATCCACAGTATGGTATTAAAGTTATATATCTCCACGGAGACAGGTAGTGCCAATGGGCCAAGGTTAGATTTGTGGGACCACTCTATCTTCATAGTAAGAAGTAATTAAGAAGAGAAGTCAAAGGTCCTATATTACACAAAATGTCTCTAGTGAGTAGCCATGTTATAATGTTGTTACTTCCTCAAAAGCATACCCACACTTGTTTTGTTTCAGTCACTCATGTTTGAGTAACCCTAACCCCTAAGCTTGTTTAGTCTGTTTACATCTCCACAGCTCAAACTGCTCTGTTCCACCTTGTGATGCCATGAAGCGGTAGGTTTCAAGTTAATGATCCAAATGATTCTACTGAAGGTGTGTAGAGTTTAAAAAGCAGTGGAGCACTTGACACCACATGACATGACAAGAGTGTTTTTAGTTTGAGAGAAGAACTCAACCTAAATATGCAGGGTTTGTGTGTTAAACATGTGAGAATTAAACAAAACACAACTCCAGGTCTGTTTGTGATGAACGAACAGTATAACATAGATCAGAAAACAGCGTAATATTAAAAGAACGTCCTTTCCAAGACAGTCACTAGAGGGCACTAGACTAAAATATTGTATGCACCTTTATGGCCCGCGCTATGGGCCCACGCTGTACACCTGTGTTAATGCATGCACTCAACGCATGTTTATTTTAACTTCTAAAGTAGGTCACGTTAGATATAGATAGCACTAGCACCAACTCTCACAAACTTATGATGATGGCACACACTCCATGGGAATTGGTTGCTGCTTGTTGTAGCAATGTAAGGTAAATAAATTGTGTGTTTGTAACAGCAAAACTTTCACAACTGGAAATTCAACGTGCTCAAGTAGCTTAACCGTGGACAGACTTATTCCTTTCTCCATTATGTAGGCAATAGAAAGCAATTTTGTTAAATGTAGTCTATTCGTAAAAGACGCAACGCCGCATTAATGCGTAATGCGTAAAACAATGATCACCAACCTAACAACAAAACGTCTTTCAAATGCAAATGGCCCGAATAAACCTTTAGCTTTTATCATTATAGTCCATCATTACTGGTGTGAGGAGCTATCTCGCGCAGTAGTTTGCCTTCTCCTCTCCTGAGTCACTTCTTGCTCATGTGTGCGCGACCTTTGCACTAATGCGTGCGTGAGCCGCGCGCGTGGCCGTATAAAAGTCGCGCTATGCCAAGACCGAGCAACAGGTAAGACAGGTGAGCCTCCTCCTGCATCCTCACGACACTGCTCGGCTCCACTCTCTACAGGTGCGTAAAGACCAACGATACTAAGTGTTTTTATGTACTCACACAAGACACTTTTATCTTAATGCAGGCTGTAGTTATCATATGTTTGAAGAAGATAACTTTTTTAATCAGTATTACCGTTTGTACGTTACAGTGAGTGCCTCCTATCTCTTTTAGTTTCTTGGATAAAAGATTTAGTGCTTCTAAACACTTGACATGTTCATATATTCAGCTACATTTCTTACTATGCAGTACCTGGAAGTATTGTGCGTTTTTGTCCTTCTACTTTTGTAACTGAAATTACGTTATTTTTCTGCTTCAGCCATGGCTCCCAGACCTGAAGAGGGAACAGATCACTCCTCCAATCTTGGTATGTCCTTCGTCTTTAGATACTTAGCTTTGTGCAGTTTATATTGTAGCCACTTACACTGACTTTCTCTTTACATGATGATACTTGTAGAGAAATCCCCCAGCAGTAAGGATGTGGCTATACTCCCTGCCTATTCTACTGTGGATTTGATGAATGAGGAGAAAGAGGAAGACCCTTGGGACCTGCCCGAGCTGAAAGACACTGGGGTGAAGTGGTCAGGTGAGCCCCTCCACTCTCAGTCACCCCTATAGAAGGATAGTATGGGGCTTATTCCAGTGTTTCTGTGTAGAGCTGGACACAAGAGGGAAGGTTATGAGAGTCCTGACCGGGCTTCTGAAGTTGGTTATGCTGCTTGGACTTCTCTACCTATTCATTTGCTCCCTGGATGTTCTGAGTTCTGCTTTTCAACTGGTTGGAGGTAAGAACACATTAAAAAGAAAAGGCTGTGGACAAAAAATGCTAAAACAATGGTTGATTTTGCACATTTTATACAAAGTAGTCTTTATTTTCACTTACTATATCACACCACAATACAAGTAGTAAAATTGCTCAGTGAATTTCTTGAATACAATACCAACAATAGACTCTGTTGTTACTACAATTTTTTTCTGTTCGTATGAGCTCCTCCTCAAACTATGACTAAATAAACATAAAACTTAAAATAATACAGTTAGGTTGACCTATATAGTAATTATAAATGCTAGTTTGACCTGCTTTAGTACTAAGTCGTAGTAGTTTAGTCATAAAATAATGTCAGAATCGTTTTATATTGTGCATGAACTGCCCAAGTTTGCTGAAGTCATGTGAAACAAGAATAGCCTCCATGGTGGGTTCATTGTACGTTTATATTTGCAATAGACACGGACAATAGTGCTTTCAAAATCTTGGCCTAAGTTGCATTTAAGTCAATAATAAATAAAAATGCAATCTAACGTTATAATCTTGAAATACTGTTTAAAGAGCAAAACACACAGTGGATCTATTGTTCCCTGCAACAGTAGGAGGTTAAGTCATTGTGGACAGGAATAGCCCCAGTGGTTGCTTCTTTGTATTTTTGGTGTTTAAACTCTGTTGTGCTTATTCAGGTAAAGCTGCTGGTGACATCTTCCAGGAGAATGCAGTGCTGGCAAACCCTGTGGCAGGTCTGGTCATCGGAGTCTTAGTCACAGTCTTGGTCCAGAGCTCTAGCACCTCCTCGTCTATCGTGGTCAGCATGGTCTCCTCCGGACGTGAGTCAATTCTGATCACTGAAATCTGTCTATGCGTATGTCATTTTGTTTATTTAGTGTGACAACAGCAGAAAATACTACTTCCACCGCTATTGTTACTAGCTACTACCACACTAAAACCTGTACTACTACCACTGGACCCACAACCAGTGCTAGAATCGCTGTCAATTCTAATATTACTACCACCACTAGCTTTTCTACTAACTAACAACTTTGATTTGCATAACATTCAGTATGCATAGTTTGTTTTTTAAAGCAGTGGTTCCCAAACCTTTTTTTTCTGGGGACCCATATTTTAAAAGCCAGAAACCTTTGCAAACCAAGTCAGTAAACATTATTTGTAAGTCTCAAAATAAAGCTGGATTTGACCATTATTGAACATTAATAAGGATATTTTATTGTTGAGTGACTGATCGTGTCTCTCTGAACAATTAGTTTTACTCAAGTTTTAAACAATGAAAAACAGTCACTGAACCAGCAATAAAAGGATCCATAAGTCGCCTGTTTGGACATTAAAAATAGCCCATTTCTTTTTCTTTTCAACTTTTTAACATTCAAAATATTGGAACAAATAAATAGTCAATAAAATAATTACAAAAAGATTAGAAATTGTACAAAAATACACAACATTTCTAATGAGATAGGTGGGCGTGTCTGGGTTTTTGTAGCGTGTTCTAGTCCGGGGTGCAGGAGGAGAGAGCAACAAGGTGACCCAAAAAAATCTCTTGTGACCCACCTGAGGGTCATGACCCATTCTATAGGAAACAATGCTTTAAGGTACCCCATGCATGAAACTTGCCCTGACTTAGTTCTATTTTGGACCTAAAATAGATTTGATACTAATTCTAACCCCAACCAGCTGCTGTTGTGATGTTGAGCTTTACAACAATAAGTAAATGAATGCAGCTTTACTGGCATTACTTGGACCACAAAATGAGACTAATCCTCAGACTGAATGCGGGCTAGATCAGGACTATAGCTGAGTTTTTTGAGGTTTTTTGGTAAATATCTGAGTAAAATGTATTATTGCTTTGGTGCAGTGCTGGATGTGAAGTCTGCAGTCCCGATCATTATGGGAGCAAACATTGGGACATCAGTCACCAACACTATTGTGGCCATGATGCAGGCTGGAGACAGGAATGAGTTTAGAAGGTATGATCCCCTCTACTCTGCACATTAGCACAGTCTATAAACCTGAAAAATTTTTAATTGTTTACTCTTTTTAACAAAGCTCACAATTACACACACACTAATTCAGTCTGATTTATTAAGGGATTACATACATAGCAAATTATTAATCAGTAGTTACTAATAAAACATTCCTTGTAGTCACTATCTAATCCACTTTATCACTTGAAGAGATGCTTTGCTTTATCATCATTACTAGTTAAAAGACACATGAGCTACTGTCTATTACATCATGTGCTAATAGAGCCACTGGAATTTCCCTTGCGTAATCAAATTGTAAAATCAGCCTACTTTTAAAATGTCTTCTTTTCAAAAACAAATAAAAAATGTCTCTCAGCATGTTTCCATAAACATAAACGATACAGACTTTTAATGATAATCATTTACCACAAACAATATCCAAATTGAACTTTGCTCCAAACCCTAATCTTTTCCGGACAGAGGATTGGTTGTGAATCTCTTCAATTAAAACCCCCAACCATACCACTGATGGCTCGACATGGCTGAATCTGGGTTTCAATTCAAATTCGATTAATTGCGCAACACTACTACAGAATAAACAGTCTTATTTTTTCTAGAATATTGAACTACAGATCCATAGAATTTAAGTAATCCAGTAATATGTGTTATTCAACTGTCCGTGGTTATAATGTAATGGTTGATTGTGTATGATTGTGTATTTCCAGGGCGTTTGCTGGGGCCACGGTGCATGACTTTTTTAACTGGCTGTCCGTGCTGATCCTGCTGCCTTTGGAGGTTGCCTCTGGAGTCCTGTACAAACTCACAGCTCTGATCATTGACTCCTTCAACATTCAGAGCGGAGAGAACGCTCCCGACCTGCTCAACGTGATCACGGACCCCCTCACTGACTCCATCATACAGGTACAATCTGAACAATCGATCTGTACTGTCCGCATAGAGTTATAGACCGCTTTATCATCCAAGGATCAGGAAGTGCGCTCTTAGCATGCTAGTGGTTGTTAGTATTATTGTGATGGCAAACTCTGCTCTGAAAGTAGCCCTTGTAAACTCACTGCAGTGAATAATTAAGATGGTAGGAATGTGTGTGATCGCTGCAAATAGTTGAAAATGAACTAGTCCTGTTTTTCATGTTTTTATGGTTTCTTTAAAATGTTAAGATTTACAATTACCAGCCCAAATACTTCATGTACTAGTCCCAAACCTGGATAAACGCAGATCTGTATATCAGGGAGAGCATCCAGTTTAAAATTGAATCTAAATTTAACATGCCCAGCACAAAGCAGAAGTGCAACTGTGGCAAAAGTACAAAATAAGACGCCCTGGTAATAACACTGTATTTGTCTCCTCTGTTTTTTCCTATAGCTGGACAAGTCTGTAATTACTGGAGTTGCCACTGGTGACCCCGAGGCCAGGAACAAGAGTCTGGTCAAGCGCTGGTGTAAAACCTTCTCTAACTCGGTAAGCCTGACCACAGCAGCACAAATATTATTCTGCTATAGAGTCATTGTGCTACATTAGGAGCATAACACAATGAATCCAAGGTTAGCTCACTTTTAATGACTACTATTGCCACTGCGCTAATGCTATTGTTGTCCATGTATTTTGTGTGCCGTGATTGTTTTGTTAGATCATATTTGTCAAGGTTAAATCCTCTGCTGTTTCATCAAAGGGCTAATGTAGCATGTAGTAATTTAAAGCTCATATCTAAAACAATTATTATTTACCGCCGCATTGTGTTCTGTGCTGAACTGCTTTTAACTGTGTCCTCAGTCTACCAGTAATGTGACTGTACAAAACTGCACCACTGGCTCTTTATGCTGGGAGGAAGGCAATTTGACCTGGACTCAGATCAACATCACTACTACCATCAACCTGGAGAAATGTAAGTGCATCTTTCAGAAAACCTTTCATACAAAGCAAATAGTTTTACCCGATCTACCAAAGCAAAGGAAACACGAGGAGATGGTCATTAACAAGGCCTGTCCTTATCCTGATGCTCTCCACTCTAAACAAAGCCTACCTTTGAGTATGTGACTCAGCTAATACCGCTGTGTGACCCCACTGCCTGGTCAATGGCACCATTCAGGATCTAAAGCAACAGGGAGAATGAAGTAAACCACTATTTTTGCAAAACATCTCAAAGTCTTATTGATGGTATTTAGAATGAGATGCATTTGTGCTGTGGTGACGCACGCCAAACAATGAGTGAGGATTTATTTTGGAATTTGTTTTGCTGTCTGTACAATTCAGAATGATGAAAAATTAGAACCATTGCCATTGTGATAAACAATTGAACACAAAATATATCTTTTTAATTCGTTTTTTATTTCGAGTTTGTGCCAAGAGAGAAACAATAATCATACACTACAACATATACATTGTAAACAACAGAAAAGCACATTTCTTGAATGAATGTTGCCCAGTTCATGACATAGTTTCAAAAATGATGTGTTTGCTTATGTACACAGAACTTTACAAATATTTACATTTAATAAAATAAATGTCATACTATAGTCATACAAACCAGAGATGGGGACTTGCAGGTTATCATTGGGACTCAAGTCAGACTTGAGTCACTATTTTTAGGACTTGAGACTTGACTTGATAAAATAGACTAAGACTTGGGATTCGACTTGGACTTGAAGGTCAATGACTTGGGACTTGACTTAGACTTGAAGCCTGTGACATGAGAAGACTTAAGAAGCACTTTTAAATCTGAATTTCTACGACTCTTATATAGACCATAAATAGTCATATATAAATATACTATGATTTTATAAGTACAATTTATCTTAAAATTGCCCAAATATAAGCTATATTTGGTACTTTGGTTTAAAGACTTGAAATGACTTGAAGCTCAAAGCAGACGACTTGGACTTGACTTGGCCAGTGACTCAAGACTAGACTTGGACTTGCCTGTATTTGACTTGGGATTTGAGGTCAAAAATTTGAGACTTACTTGAGACTTGCAAAATGACAACTTGGTCCCACCTCTGGTACAAACTAATAACAATGATAAAGAAGCCACAGAAGTTTATCTTATTACATCTTTTGAAAGGGTTAGGGTCAAAATGTTGCATATAACAAGAAGCTGAAACCTCTACAGTGTATAGACTTTAGTTCTACTGAGCAAAGATCCATCCAGTGGTATTATCAAAAAAGTTGAAAGTGCAAAACAAGATGAAGTAGGTGTTTACTGTAAATAGATATTGTTGTTGAAATATGTATTGACATTTACTCTGGAATAACAGCTGAGTATCTGTAAGCTGCTTTATTAAACTTATTAAAGAAGCATTTGCGGTGACAGATTGTATTTATCAAATTTTTAATCAAAAACGAATGTGGCTTATCAACTTAATATAGAACACGTCCTTCATCACAACTTTATATAACTAAAACATGTGTCTGACTTTCTTGAAGGCCACCACCTGTTTGCCAACGTGGAACTCCCGGACCTGGCTATAGGTTTGATCCTGATGGCCCTCTCTCTGCTGATCCTGTGTACCTGTCTCATCCTCATCGTCAAACTTCTCAACTCAATGCTCAAAGGTCAAGTGGCTGTGGTCATCAAGAAGGTGCTCAACACAGGTACGCACAACTCAACATGTCAAGTTTTGTGTAAAAAAGGAGATATATTCTGTTTAACCAGGCAGGTCATTTAGTTTTTTCCATGTTCCAGGAAACGCCTTGAATTTCAGTTTCTGGGTAAATCTTTGTTTGGTTTTAGTTTCAACCTAATTTATCTGTGGATTCTGGCTTACTAGTTTACTAAATGAAATAGTGCAGACATTTTCTAAAGTAAATGTGTCACAACCTTAAGAGGTCAATCATTAAAGAATGTATCTGAGGTGTTTTATTTTATACCCAGTGCTGAGAAGTAACTATTATACAAATTTTCCGGTACTTACTCTTTAATTTGCTGAGATACAGTCTGTTTCCTTAAATCAAAGGAATACATGCGAGGTTTCCTTCTAATTAGTGATCAATTAATGCAACAATGCCACACACATAACATTGTTTTATTCCTCTGTGGCTAATTACATTTTCAAAGTGTTCTTCCCGTCACTGTTCATACCTTATTAGTCATCTCATCTGTCTGCTGAGCACAATAGTGAATTTGATAAACCTGCTTGATAGTCAGCTTCTCCTTGCCTGGTGGTGGCGCTGATGAGCGGTGCAGGTATAGAATCTGTGAGTTTCCTCGGTCGTCTCAGGTCCAGTCCAGTGTCCTGAGGGAGAGGAGAAGCACAAACAAAACATATTATGACCCTGGGGAGTGCAGGAATACCGGGACAAACATTTCATAACATCCTACTCCCATGGGTTTCACAGTGGTTGAAAACAAGCACCGTTGCCATGGCGATTCACAAATCGAACAATTTTTTTATAGCTTTTGAATGGTTAAAAAATTGTGGATATAAGTAGCAAGCTGAAACCCATGATTGTGTTATTCTGCCATAAAATTGAGTACATAAAAGTATAAATACATTTATTATTGGGTCAAATTGCCACATTCAGAGGCCAAGTCAATGCAAATGACTGTAACTACAAAATATACAAAGTAAATGCTTGCAGTTTGAGGCTGACTCCCTGGAAGTATCATTTGCCACTATTAAAATTACCTGATATTTTCTATGGACATTTTGTTTGTTGGTTACTCTCTATGACACACTAGCAGACTGCATATTTAACTGAAGACTAACCTGTGGTGTTTTTACTCCGCAGACTTCCCGTTCCCATTTACCTGGGTCACTGGATACATTGCGATCCTTGTAGGAGCAGGGATGACCTTCATAGTCCAGAGCAGCTCCGTCTTCACCTCAGCCATCACACCGCTCGTGGGTAAGGCGCTGCTACATCACTCCAAGGTTTTCCTTGACTTTCTCAAGACTAATAATGATTCTCCTCCAGGTATTGGAGTGATCAGTTTGGAGAGAGCGTATCCACTGACTCTGGGCTCTAATATTGGCACAACGACTACAGCTATTCTCGCAGCTATGGCTAGTCCTGGAGAAACACTGGCAAACTCTTTACAGGTAAACATTACTTGTGTTTAAAGCAGTATTCAGAGCTTAAAGAAGCACTCATCCAATAGGTTACTTGATTATATTTTCATTCAAAAGGTAGTATTTCTTGGGTAGACTTAGACTTAGACTTAGACTTAGACTTAGACAAACTGGTCCATATTAATCCACAAGGGAAGTTATTTGGACACAAATAATGGTAAAAGTAGTACCTCAAGTATGGTAGTAGTAAATGGTAAAACTACTACTACAACTACTAACAACACTTACCACATCATTTTACATTTTTTACTGGAGATAATACAACCAGTAATGCTACAAATAATATAAGTTATGTTACTGAATATATTACTGCTGGTAGCATAAGTCAAATTAAAAAGCAAATATGTGAGTATTGACTGAGCAAAGCATAGTACTACCATAGTAACCTTCACTGTCACTACTTTCCCTGCTACAACTCATAGCTCTTATACAATTAATGCAGTTTTTACTATAGACATATTACATTTCTGTCTTTACAATACACAAATCACCACTCACTATGTCAAAAATGCACATAAAACTTCAAAATCTACTTAAACTAATTACACAAGTATTGAATCATGTTTCATGTTTAAGAATATTAAAGTCCACTAATTTATTTCTGCTACTGCCCTGAGTAATGGCATGTGCATCAGAGCTAACAGATGATAAAGATTTTATGGTTGATATAAACCCACAAAGTTACATGAGTAGCGATAGCATAGTTTATAATTCCAGTTTATGAGCCTTATCAAATCAGAACGGCTCTTCTGGGTGACCAAGTACTGCAAATGAACAACAAACAACATTTAGCAGTAAAAGGGGCTGTAAAAATAAATGCAGTTTCAGCAACATATCTGAGCTGCAAAAAACAAGACTCCTTTTAAATAATTAATATTTTTAGTGCTGTCCTCTCCGTGCATTTCACTCACGGGGCTCGTCTGTGTCTGGGGAAAAGCTGACCGATATTTTTCTGTCATTGGAAATTGAAAATAAGGGTTATGTTGCTAAAAGGTGGGCAAAATTGATGTTGGCATTAAAATTTTAAAGGGTCACTATTTTATGTTATTACTGGTAGAGAAACTGTACGATCATGTCAAAAAGCACTGTAAATTCAAACCAGTGTACATTTTAAACACTAGGCAAAATTACTTTCTCAGGATCAGATACTGTATCAGGTCATTAAGGATCATTTGCCACTTGATCTGTATGTAAATATTTCTAACACTTTATAAGAACTATACTTTCATTAGGCTTAATCAAGCATGAACAATGACGTAATCCATAATGAACAGTTTATTAAGACTGATTCAGACTCTGTAACTACATAAAGGTCTTGCACTTTATCCCCATGTATTTGAGTAAAATACGGTATGTTTTTCCCCAGTACAGATATAATGTATAAGCAGCTCTTGTGGTCAAAGTATGTCAGCTGCATGCTAATTAATAATCAGGAAGTGTGTAATAGCATCCCAAATGTTGTTAGCTTTACTGACATGGCAAAAATCCACACTGGTCTTTGAGAAAAAACGTTTGAAATGAACTACTTCTGTTTTTCACATTTTAAAGACAATTAAAATCTGTCTAAAGTAGTGAAAGTATTGATTAAGTAGTTATCTAAACCTGAAACTTTCTAATTCAAGTGTAGTTATTGTATGTTGTAACCTAATTTTATTTGTACAGCAATTTAATGTTCCTATTTTGGTGTTCAAAAGTAGAAACATAACAACTGAACAGTCATATTCACTGCCCTGTATTTCCAATGTTGGAGAATCGTGCTATAAAGATCTTTTTTTTCCAGATTGCCTTGTGCCACTTCTTCTTCAACATCATGGGCATCTTGCTGTGGTACCCGTTCCCGTTCCAGAGGATCCCCATCCGCCTGGCTCGCGGTCTGGGCAACAAGACGGCCAAGTACCGCTGGTTTGCGGCGCTCTACCTCATCCTGTGCTTCCTGGTGCTGCCCATAACCGTATTCGGGCTGTCTCTGGCTGGATGGCAGGTGCTAGTGGGCATCGGTGTTCCTATTATAGCCATTGTGATCTTCGCTGTCATCATAAACGTGATGCAGAAGAAGTGTCCTCGTGCCCTTCCCAAATTCCTGCGCAGTTGGGATTTCCTGCCCAGGCCGCTGCACTCCCTGGCGCCCTGGGACCACGTGGTAACCGTGTCACTGGGCTTCTGCGGCAAGCACTGCTGCTGCTGCTGTAAATGCTGTAGATGCTGCAACAAAGAAGAAGAAGATGAGAAAATGACAAAGGGAAGTGTCAAGAGTTTGCAAATGTACGACAACCCAGCTTTGACCAAAGACGAGGAAGTGATCAAATCCACTAATCTGTAAATATTGTATTTAAATGTTAATTCACTCAAGCAGTGATTCAGGACTCTCTGAAAGTGCAATCTGTGGATGAAAATGAGCATTACTGATCAAGGACTAAACAAGCTCTTAAAACTGGACTAACCTGGACCTAAACCAAGCCTGATTCTGAAGTGGTTCATGGCAATTGATAGTTTGCAGCTGATGCCATCAACATTCCCTGGGAGTGTGATGCTAACTAGAGGCACTACTCTGTCAGAACCTCTATTAGACTTTAATCTGAGCTTTTATTTTAACACAATCTAACCTGAAAGAGCTGAACTACAAGAGGTGAGATGATTTGTGCTCTTAAACAAGTCTCTTACAGTCACAAGCATTCATTCCACCATAGTGATACATGTAGAACTCCCCCAGCATGATCTCACCGATGTCTCAATAGTGTAGTCCAATTTTAGCCCTAGAATAATGCTATTTTAGACCTGGTTTAGATCTGGTGGTACACAGAAGGCCAAATATTTTAGATAGTATTTGAGAAGCAGTGGACTAGAGGACATCTGTGTACCACCAGTAGTGCCTGTATCATTGTTTAAAAGTCACTTATGCAGTACTAAGACACTCCTAATTGCTGGACACCGCCTGTGGGACAGAAAAATGTTCCTCAGTAGGACAACGTACAAAGTCTAGGACCATCTCACATCACTGGACAAAATGGACACTGAGTTGTCCATATCTGTTTATAATATTTAACTTTATGGATATATGGTTTTACAATGGGGTGCAACCAAAGATATTTTTATACTTTATATAAAATGTGTGACAGGCCTTATGGAAATTTTATGTAGCGTTAAATGTTTTCAGTATTTAAGAGTATATCATATTTGTAAATAAAAAATGTTATTTTTAAAACCTGTGCATGTTTTTTTTTTATGTTCACAGTACACAGTTTATGGACATTTACTTTGTAAGAATCCAGATGTTATAACAAATACATTTTTATAACTTTAGTACATGTGCTGATGGCATAACTTTTTTCCATGAACTATTATATAAAGACTTATGTGAAAAATGACATAAGATTAATAGAGGCTGGTTGATATAGCAACAGTCTCGCTTTCAGGAAGTTTAGTTTATATTGGTTTAAGACTTTTTCCTATAACATTTACACTTTTTTTTTTTAGACTTAGATAAACAAAGTAAAACACAGTCCACATCATGTTTTTTATTATTATTTTATCCTTTAAAGGCTGTTGTATTCTTTTTAGCAGTGTTCAAGACAAGCCATAGTTTTGCATTATGTTCCTTTAAGAAATCCTTGAATTTTATGGTAATGAAGTGGGGCCATTTATAACCTTCACACTTGACCATTACTTAGATTGACTACAGCCGATTAGCATTATTAGCTCATCGTATCTGATGTGCCTTTGACCTGATATACCTCATAGGTCTTCAAAGAATTAGAGTACTAACAAAGCCACTTATAATGGCATGGTTAATAAAGGCAGTCAAAAATGAATAATAATAATTAGTTAAAATTAGATACTTTGAAGTTAACCTGACCTAGTTTATGTGTCAGGGTAAGTAGGTTAGTTAGTGTCTTATATTGTGGTTAAATGCCTGGTCATTACTCAAAGTGCAGTTCAAAGTAGAAGTCAGAATTTACTATCTGAGGTGTGGCTCCGCCCTCTCCTCACTGCCCACGCCTCAGAGCCATGACCCTGTGACGTTCCTTTATGAGTTCACCACTGGACTAAAAGTACAAGTGAGCAAAGTTAGAATGGAAAACTTTATCTATTATGAATTAAGATTGATTATTTTATTACAAATATTTAGTGCTGGTAGCTTTTAGAGGACGGCAGTACTATCAATTGTTTATGATATAAGTACACCCATATTTCCATTTCCATATTTGTTTGGATTAAAGGTCCTATATTACACGATTTTCTGATCCATATTATAAGAATTAAAAAAAGGTAGCTGTTAACTTAAAAACTCCTGACACTTGACATCACAAGGTGGAACTGAGCATTTTGAGCTTTGGAAATGTGGACAGATTCACAATAAGGAGTTACTCAGACATGAGTGAATGAAACAAAACACAACTCCATGCATGTTTTTGAGGAGGTAACCACATTATAACACGGCTTAAAGCTCACAACAGTGCATTTGGTAATATAGGACCTTAAAAACAGTGTAAGTGAAAATGGCCTCGCTAGACGCTGCACTAGCTATCCAAACAGCTAAACATGGACCCAGAAGAAAAGTCACATGCAGTGGATAACTTTGATGAAATTTACTAGTTCCAGCTTTTTGTGAAACTGCAACAACAAACACATACAGAAATGGCTATTAATATCAGTGCCAGATAATCTTGATAAATTATAAATAGCACCAACTGTTAAAGTTACAGTCAATGAATCTAAGTAGTTAGCATGACGATTAGCATCTAAATTAGCATATGCATAGCTGATAGATTTACATAACAATTATGTGCCTAAAACGTGTTAACTAGTACATTTCAAACACAAAATGAAATATTGCAGGTGTATAATTATGTTTTACCATGTAATACTCAAAGATGATGCTTAAACAAACATCAAAAGTAAACACCAGAACAGAGGAGCGGACATTTTGCTGAACTACAACTTTCTGTCTAACGTTCTTCTACTATTATTACCAAAAGAGTAAATTAAAGTGATCATTAGATGGTGTAATTTAACAAGCAAAAAACATAAGACTAAATCAGTCAAATACAGTAAACGTAAAAAGTGTAATTCAAAATAGTGCTTGCGATCACTTGTAGAATGAGAAGAGATGGAGCAGAGTCATACTCAGACAGATATTTGCGTTTATAATTGGCACACAAATCCAAGTTGAAATATTAGTCTGAAATATATCATTAACACAACCAGATGACGCAGTGGGACAGCAGTAGATAAAGTAGTGTTGCTGGGTGCTTAAGCAAGACACTTCACCCACCTCACCCAGTATGAATGTTTGCTGGTCAGAGAGGCAGATGGCGCACATTGGCATCCCTGTTTCCGTCAGTCTATCCCAGGACGGTTGTGGTAACAATATTATCTTATATATAGCTGCTGAGTGTGCAGTTAATGAATAATGCATCTTTAAGGGCTTTGGGAGTCTTGAAAGGCCTTATATAAAACCAATGCATCATCCACATAAGGAAATAAAAAATGCATGTATATAGACTTTGATCAGATTGACCAATATTTAACCTCAGTGACACAATTTGAAGGGCCCTATGTTATAATTGTTCACACATCACAAACATATCTGGAGTTTGTTTTGTTCACAAGCCCTCATTTAGGCTTCTTCTCTCAAACAGAAAACACTCCACCTTGTGATGTCATGTGGTAATACAAGAAGTACTCTATGTTTTCAAACTCTATACACCTTCACTAAAATAATTTGGATAATTTCAGCTCTGTTAATTTCTACTGAACAGGGAGATTTTAACTTGAAAACTACCCACAATGTTGAACAGAACATTTTGAGCTTTGTAGATGTAGACAGATTAGGGTTACTCAACATGTGAATGAAACAAAACACAACTCCTAGTATGTTTTTGAGGAGGTAACAACATTTTAAAGTGACTAAAACCTCACAAGAGTCAATTGTGCTTAAAATATTGAATTTCAACAGCTACCTTTTACCTTCAGTAGATTGTCAGTTCAAGGGCTGAAGCCATCCAAATGATTCTAGTGAAGGTGTATGGAGTTTAAAAACACAGTGGAGCACTTTCTGTATAACCACATGACATCACAAGGTGCAACAGGGTGTCTCCTCTTTGAGAGAAGAACTTGAAATAAGCAGGCGTTGTATGTTAAACATGTGTGAATGCAACAAAACAAAACTCCAGGTATGTTTTCATAGGGAAAATATATGATAACATTGATAAAAAAAAATATATATATTATAGGCCCTTTAAGCAGTTAAGAAGCACGAATGATTCTTAAGGCTAGGAACTGAACCAAAACTAACCCTAACCAGGATATTTTTAACCAAATCTAGCAAAACCTTATGATAATCATACATTCACATAAAGTGTTGTTTACATGAAGCCTATCTCAACCTAATGTGTTCTATAAAAAGAAGCATGTGGCAATGTTTAACTCTTTCTTACAACAGCTCTACACTGCAATAACTTCTGATAACAACCCAGGAATTCAACCAGCAGCACGTCTGAGTGATCCAGGGGTGACTTGCTGTATTTGGTACGCATGACTCCTGTTAGATTTGACTGTTGAGAAATTCCAGGACAGTATTTTCAGAGATACCAACGCCAGGTTCCTTTTAGGATGACTTAAAAGGAATCTCATATCTTCTGTTCTGGATGCAGTTTCTCAGTTATCTGCAGAAGAGGCTGGATCACAATGTTCTGTTCCAGGTCGAGTAGTCATTCTTCTGAGAAATGGATGTCCCGTTTATGGAGTCTCTGTGTCACGCAATTTAACATCAAACATGATTTATAATACAATGTTATCTATTCTAATGGACAGATAAAGATGTGAAATAGTATTCGTTTTTACTTTGAATTAGAGGAAATATAAAGCACATAGAATATTACTGAGAGAGATTATAGCCACAGACATCTACTCCCTCTTTTCTCTTCATAATAAGGAAGAACAAAAGGCTGTGACTAAGATGGCAAAGAATGTGCCCTTTAACTTGAAGGTTAGCAGTTCAATTCCCATGTCCTACAGTGAATATGTGAGTGGTTCCTTAATGTAGACTGCTTTGAGTGCCCAGTGAAGCAAGGCACAATTTGACCAGCTTCTATTTTAAGAAATGTATCAAAGCATGTTTATTAAAGAGGCTAACAGAAGATGTTGGTAAACAAATGATCAACCTTCAAATATCATAATTTCTCAAGAGTCTAGTCAGTGGTGGAACATAACAAAGTAAAAGAAGTAAAGACTGTACTTAAGTATACAGTTTAGGAATCTATACATGACTTAAGCCGATTTTAAAATGGATACATTTTACTTTTACTTTATTACATTTCAGAGAAATTATCTATAATTTAAACCCCACCATATTTTTTTTTACTGGACTGAAAAGTAAAAGTATTTTTTTATCACAGTTTGAGGCCCGCTGAAAAGCCTGGGGGGTTTATTTAGAACACAGTTGAAGTTTGCGCATACAAAAATATGCAAATTAAAAACAGCTGGAAAAAAATTATTTGGTTTCTGTTGAACTAAATTCTGCACAAATCTTTATCAAAATCAATACATTTGCAGCTTTATTAGATTTGTGCAAAATACTTTACTTTTTACTCTTTAAGTACATTTTTAAACAAGTACTTTAATACTTTTACTTAAGTAAACAAAGTTGGCAGTACCTATAAAAAGCCGTGTAAGGTCGTATATTTTTGAGGATGAATTGAAGCTGTCATACCTCGTTTATTGCCGGTTATATGAGACATACTTCTCCTCATTCAAAGTTTTAATATATTCAAAAACATGGCTCTCAGACGGCGTTTCAATCAGGCAAATGAAGTGGAAGCACCTGCCTGAGCGAAGTGGACCGTGTACACAGCGCACTCGTCTGGCTTGTTTATTAGTTGTTTATTTTAGCATCTGTCGTGACGATGCCAAGTTTTACATGAGATCTGGAGCTGTTCAGACGCCTCAGACTCAACCACGGACAAGTGACCCGGTGTGCTCCTCCAGAGGCGGTCATGAGATGGAGTGGTGATGGTGGATCAACTATAATTTTGTGTTTTTTTGTTTAGTTTTTTTTGTAGAGAAAATTTTTATGGTGCATTCTATAACATTTCTAGTGGAGGGTCCGCCACCCACTTTCAATGGAAATGTTATTGCTTTGTCTCGAATGTTCCACA